GCCCATCCATTCATCCATCATCTATCACTTACACAGACATTACACATGCATACATCTATCCACACATACATGTCTATATCAGTGCATGTGGTAATGTCTCTAGCTGGCTGCCCTGCCCATCAGCTTTTCCATTTCCCACCTCCCTTCATCCTTGTTAATCTATTTGTGGGTGTAGCTATTCACTTTCTCTCCACCCATCTGGCTGTCCACTTCTTTTCCCGTCTGTTCCTACATCCCCGTCCACAGGCCATCTGCCTGGCTATGTTCTCTTGCTGTCACTCAGCAAACATTTACCCAGATGCTCTGTGTGGCAGAGGTGTGGTATTATGAAGGTGGTCCCCTTCCTCGATGACACCTGGCCAGTGCTCGCTGTGACATGCGCTAACTGTAGAGATGGCAACGCTGAGCCCGAACAAGGGGCAGGATTATGATTACCACATCAGCTGCTTCTATGAATGGTTACCTTCTGTGCTTCGACGGCTGGCTGGCACAAGGGTAGAGAATGAGGCATGAGCAGCCCCTGCCCCGAGGGAGGCTGTCTTTGCTGTCTTCTCCTCTGGGTCATTGGGTGACAGTCAGAACACATCCATCCACCTACCCACCCACCCACCCATCCTCGCATCCATTCATCCACCTGTCCATCTATCCATCTACCCACCCACCCATCCACTCACCCATCCACCCATCCATCCACCCATTCATCTATCCATCCACCCAGTCATCTATCCACCCACCCACCCACCCATCCACCAACCACCTGTCCATCCATCTGATGTTCTGGTGCAGCTGGAAGGAAGCAGGAAGAGGTCCCAGCTCTGTGGTCACAACTTTAACCGTTGGGTGACCTTGAGCATGTCTCTTTGCCCTGTGGGCTGTCATATCTGCATCCCAGTGGACACAAGGCCCTGATATCTTAAATTTAGGAACTACTGAGCTTAAGACGTAGCCAGTTTTCAAATGACCAACGGGAAGCTTCAAATGCTAAGAACTGGGGTCCATTTCAGGGGTAGAGGGCTTAGTGTGTTCATGGTTCCATCCAGAGGGGAGAGGGAGGGAGAGGGAGAGGGAGAGGGAGAGGGAGAGGGAGAGGGAGAGGGAGAGGGAGAGATGAATGTGAGTCATCAAGATATTGAAACAGGACCATGCCAGGCTCTGGCAGCAGAAGTGAGTGGTTGCCCTAAACCATATATGACTCACAAAACCCAATGTACTTCCTGTTGGTCCCTTAACACAAAAAGTTTGGTGACCTCTGACCCAGCATGTGAAATACAGATTGTTCACTGTCATCTCCATCGAGGTTCTGAAGGCCCATGGAGCATGGCATCTCTGCTTTCCAAGGGCATCTGGGACTAGGTGACCTGGAGAGATGAGTCACAGGACTGTCACCCTGTTCTCGAGTCCAAGTCACAATAGCTTTGCCTTTCAAAGCTGAATCACAGGCTTCTCTGTCAGGAGACATTTAAAACGCACTCGTGTGTCCTCCCTGCAAAATAACAGCCTTGCCCAAGCTCAATCGAGGGGGTGACTGACTGAGCCTGTGTGCGATCAGGCCATCAACAGCCGCTTCACAGCTGTGAGATGCCACGGGTGACCAGACATCCCCAAGCCAAGGATGGATAAGACTGAATCTTAGGAGTGGGCGGGGCATCCTTCACGAAAGAGAGACAGGAGCATTTTCTTGCCCACCCACTGACCTGGAATGATGGGAAGTGGGTGGGTAGATTCTGGGCAGGCAGAGAGGCTTCTGGGTGGAAGTATGGTGGGAGGTGCTTGGGGAGAGGGATTCTGGGTAATATCTATGGGATAGACTGCAGGTGGTTTCTCCGCTCGCTCGGCTCGGTCTCGATGGGCTTCCGAGAGATTGCAGAAAACAACCCAACCTTTTGGTTCTGCTTCTGCATCCTTGAGGCAAGGCTCAGTCAGGCCTGTGTCCACCAGAGTCCAGCCACATGACCAGGCCTGAGTTCCCTTCTTTCTGCAGAGGGATGACATGGAGGCTGTGCCAGGGTACCTGTCTCTACACCAGACAGCTGATGTCATGACCTTGAAGTGGACACCCAATCAGCTGATGAACGGGTCTGTGGGGGACCTGGACTACGAGAAGAGGTAAGAGAAGGTCAATTGAATGCTCCCCAAGTCCTTCTACTCTCTTAGACACGGAGATGCTCTCTTCAGGGCCTGCCTGGTTGTTATGGTTACCTGGCCTGGCCTCCCTACTGCTCAGGTGGCCTCAGAAGGAACAGCAGCCTTGGGAGCAGCTGGAGACAGGTGACAGGGCCTCGGGAGTAGGCGTGGTCAGCTGCTCGCATTCATAAGTATATTCTCAGGGGCCAGCGAGATGGCTGAGTTCCTCAAAGCCTGAGTTCTATTCCTGGGACCTATCTGGTGGAAGGAGAGAACCCGACTCCTTCTTATTACCCTCCGACCTCCACTCGTTCACGATCGTGTTCACCCACTACACACACACACACATACACACACACACACACACCACTAAATAAATAAAAATGTAATTTAAAGATTTTGCAAGTGTGCTCCCAGGCCTATCGAAGTGTACGAATAGCAAATACGGAGCCTGTAAACGGCACCTCAGCAAGCCATGAGGACACACGAGACTGAAGAACTAGCCCCGCCCCGCCCAGTGACGTCACTTCCGTATCCTCCCCAGCCTCAGTTTGACAAGCTATACTTAGGGTGTAGGAATGGAGCCCCTTACAGAAGGTATCAGAAGTGGGTCGCAGCTGCTAGCGTGATGCCTGTGTTACTCTGGGTTCTCCTAAGAGTGGGTGCCAGGAAAGGATTGATGAACAAGAGATTTATTTCTTCAGGGAGGTTTATTTCTTCAAGAGATTTATTTCTGGGGGAGATGAGGGCAGGCGCAGAAGAGAAAGAAAGGAAGGTCACATGGGAAGAGTATCCATCAGACCAGCTGGGGATGCTGGACTGGACAGACCTGGACCACACCCATGTGCTCAGTCATAGCACCTTGGTGGGACTGTGGTGATCTGCTGCGTTCCACTTCCTGGAAAAGGATCTCTGCATGGTTGCATTCCTGGACTGCCACAAAACCTACATTCCCACGTCCCCCATCACGTGCTGTTCTGATAGGGGAATAACTTATTTCAGGATCGTGGTGGGCCCTGAGCTAGAAGTATATACTAAGTCAGTACTCGGAGCAACCGTGTCACAAGCACTGTGTTCTGAGCTGTGTGAGGGACTCTAGGTCGAGTCCTTCAAATGACATAGTCTATTAAATCCTCATAGAAACACTACAGTGGAGATCTTATTAGCACCCCTGTTTTATAGCTGGGGATATTAGCGCCCTCATTTTATATATGGGGAAACTGAGACCCCTCAAATCACACTAGTATGCCAGGTAAGGTCAGAACTGGGAGAGGTCATTCTGACTTCTGCCCACAGCTGCTCTGAGCTAGTACCGATGTTTAACTTCCAGGTACAAAAAAGTAAAGCTCAAGTGACTGGACCATTTGTCAAATGATTCAAAGGACCCAGGGATGGGAGACCTCAGGCTAGACCCAGGGGTGTGAATAGCCATTCCTGAACCCATCACTGCCTCTTGCTTCTGCTTTCCTGCCTGCCCACCCTGTGCTCAGACAGGCCTTGCATGGCTCTGAACGTCCCTGGGCAGCAAGGAGCTTTCTTCCTGGGCTCTGGAAGCATAAGCCTATCATTTCTTTTATGGTGCTCGACTCATGGTGCCAACCCTGCCTTAGTCACTATGACCAGTCAGTGCTGATTGGCTAGCCTGGGTCAAGTGATCATCCTGGAGTGCTGATTGGCCAGCCTGTGTCAGGTGATCATTCCGGACTCCTGGGCTAGAGACTTGGCATTATTGGGCTTGAGACTTGGCGTTGTTGGGTTCGGGTAACCATGTAGATAGGGAGAAGGGGGGTTTACTCAGAAAGTTGTGGCGGTAGGATCAAAGGAAGGGGAGGATGGCTGGGCAGACTGGAGTCACAGATGCTGGGACACGTGGGTCTTGGTGAGAGGGCAGAGGTGCCTCTGGCTTCCCACAGTCTCCCCCACTTCCCCCTCCAGTGTCTACTGGGACTACGCTGTGACCATCCGCTTAGAGGAGATAGTTTACCTGCATTGCCACCAACAAGGTAGGGACCATGGGGACAGCAGGTGGCTGGGCATCCATTGTGGCTGTCTGTCCCTGCTCCCCACCACACCCCGTTCATTCATTTAACATGAGGAGACACTTGGGTGTGCCTCCTCAAACGGCTTTATTTCTCTGAGTGTGCCTGCTCTGAATCATTGCAACCATTCAGTGATGGGGGGCTGGGGGTGGAGGGGAGGAACGTCACACCACCATGTATGAAATAACGCTGAATGTTGGCTATAGAGAGGGAACTTGAAAACCAGATCTTTGTGACTCTGAAATCAGTGATCTTCGGACCAGAGACCAGTAACCACTATAGTCCCTTAAAGCCAGAAGAACACCAAAAATAAACAGGGTGGGCTGAACCTGTCTAGGCATGGAACTCAACACTTTAGTAAGGCAGACCTTGGTTCTGATCAATGCTCTGCAGCTTAGCAGCGGTGTGACTTTAGGGGTGACATAAAACTTCTCTGAGTCTCGGTTTTGTCCCTTGTAACATAGGGAACGAACAGCCAAGCCTCCCAGGGATGTTCTGAGTGTTACAGTAAGGCAGTACTTATAACACCCAGTATGGCTCTTGGGGGTGAAGGTATGTGTTTGCAGAGCAGGGACTGTACCATGCTTTGTGGTGACATCCCACCATCCTCTCTTCTCCGATGGTGGCAGTGGACAGCGGTGGGACCGTCGTGCTGGTGAGCCAGGATGGAATCCAGAGGCCGCCCTTCCGCTTCCCCAAGGGAGGGCACTTGCTACAGTTCCTCTCCTGTCTGGAGAATGGGCTGCTTCCGCACGGGCAGCTGGACCCGCCGCTTTGGTCACAGAGAGGAAAGGTGAGGAAGGGGTCAGCTGTGGGGGGGCTCGAGGAGGCTGGGAGATGCTAGCCGTGGGGGTATCACTGGGCTCTACTGTGACTTGGGGGCTCCTGCGCTTCTCTCTGGGATCCTCAGCGATGCCAGGTTTGGGGATAGAAAAGGCGGCTTTCTGAGGTCTGCCGTGGGATATGCTCCTGCAGGGGAAGGTATTTCCTAAGCTGCGCAAGCGGAGCCCACAGGGGTCCTCCGAGTCCACATCTTCGGACAAGGAGGATGACGAAGCCACGGATTACGTGTTCCGCATCATCTACCCTGGCACACAGTCTGAATTCGGTAAGCAGCCCTGGGCCCTGAGCTCACCTGGCTCCTCCTGGGAACCACTCCAGAAGTTACCCTTGGGAGGCAGCAGGCCTGGGTTCTGGGGCCAGCAAAGGACACCGAGAAACTAAAGTGTCCCGGTGCCTTCCACCTCCCCCAAAATGAGAACCAATAGCCACCCCTTATTCAGCTAGTAAAGATGCCACCGGGCAGGAGGGGACAGTAACCATGACAGTGGCCTGGGTTCAGAAACGGGTAAATCCCCTGTGTTCCCTGGCCTAGATGAACCTCTGATCTAGAGAGAGACCTTCGATAGAAGAAAACACCCCAGATCTTGCTCTGACCTCTGCGTATAACCATACTGCTGTGTTGAACACTCATGTGCACACATTGGGACATGCATATGTGTGCGCACACCCACTCATACACACACACACAAAACCAAGCACAGTATAGTGGCAGACACTTGTTATTCAAGTGCTAGGGAGGCAGTCAGGCACTAGCCATCTGGATCTCGGTAGCCATCCAGTTTACACTGCTTGACAAGTTCTGGGCCAGTGAGGAACTGTCTCAAAAGCAAAAATACATGGTATCGGTGAACAACACTTGAGGCTGACCTATGTCCCTCACAAACATGTGCACAAACTGTACAGACATCCACATGTCCATGTGCACCTGCACAAACACACGTGTATGTACACATACACACACATACGACTGGATTGAGCCAGGTGTGATGGACACCTGTCATCTAACATTCAGGAGGCTGAGACAGGAGGATTGCCAGTTTGAGGCTAGCTGGGGCTGCTGGGTAAGGTAAACCCTTGTCTTAAAAAGAAACAGTCCCCATTGCTGCTATTAAGGTGGCTGTTGTGAATCTCTGTCCTGCAAAATGAGGACAGTTGCCTTCTTTACGTTCGTCAAGGATGAATGGTGAGCCTGTGGTCTAGTGCCTGGCACAGTGTGGGCACTGTACAAGTGCCAGTCTTCCCTCCTCTGGTCAGCACGGCGTACGTGGGAGCTGTGTGGAGCAGGGCGGGGAGAGGGTTAGAACCCCAAGGAATTGGTTTCTCTGGTGGCCTCTGTCCCAACCACCTTAGCCCCCCACTCACTGATTCTTTTTGTTTTCTGTCTCAAGTTGCCCTTGACCTTTTGAGCAACCCCCGGCCCGTATCCATTGGCCCTGCCTGGATGATGCTTGCTTCGGGCCAGTCCGTGCTTGTGGTGGCCAGGGGGCTCCAGTGGGCACAAACCAGAGGGTGCCTCACCACCTCCACAAGGAGTCTGAAGGAGCATCCCCCCAGTAATGTCTGGTTCCCCTTCCCCGGGGCTGGGTGACACCTCAGCCATGTCCCTATTTGAGTCTTGTTCCAAGGAAGATGGAGACAAATGAGCAGCCCTGTGCCCCCAGTACCCACCCCACCCTGCAGAAGGCAGCCC